CGCCCCCGCCCGCGCCCTCGCGCGCTCCGCCGGCGACCGCCATACAATACTGAGTAGCCTAGAAACACCCTAGAGACGAGCCCCGCCCTAGGGTCTCGCGCGAACGCAACGGGGCTTCTAGATCCGCTACAGCATCGCAATTACGTCTACACAATTAACTTACAAACACGAGTGGTATTAAATTGTCATAGTAGAGTTGTCCAAAGTGGCTTTATGACGATGAATATTTGGATATTTACGAGTGTTGAAACTGGAAAAGTTACTCTCATTCAATATTAATATTAATATGAAGATTGTTTACACGAATTCTATAGTAAACACTGGGGAGAGGTGAAAAATTACAGGGATGAGTATCCTTTCCAGTTGTAGATTGTGAGTGAGTAAGGAACACTTTCCCATCAAAACGATCACTTCTTCCTCACTAGGTCTCAATGAAAAGAAAAGAAATCAAGAGTTTTTTGTACAAAATTACAGTGTCTTTATGTTTAACATATGTATCATTAAATGAAATGAAAATGCCAAAAAAATGTATAAATCCAATTAAAGAAACAATTTTGAACATAACTTTTGCAGGAAATAATAAGAAACAGAAATACTCCTAATATACCTAAGTTTAGTTAAATATTTCTGATTCTTTTATTAAATATCTCCAATCATCGTTTGAGCCACTATGGTTCAGGTACAGTCCCCAACGAAAACTAACAGTTCACTATACAGAGGACATTTTGTCAACTTGTCAATACATTTATGAAATTGTTAACTATTGTTTTCAGTAAACAACAATATTACAAATGGAATTCACAACATTACGAACAAATCTAGAACATGAAGGGATGTAATACAAACTAAGGAAGTCAAAAGAAAAGTCTTCGTTTGGAACTGTAAGCAGCCGCACCGTATAGTAAAACGGACAGTGGCTGCCATATTATATTTTGAACATCAGACGAGAATGAAAGGAGGGCTGTAGGAAAGGGGCGGGGTCGTATGGAGCTTACACAACACCGAAGCGAATGGGGAACATCAAAAGTTAGGCCGCTTCTCATCCCAGGGATGATCCTTATCTACGCTCTCCGTACAAACGTACAAACGCTCTGTAGAAATGCTCGGTATCAACGGAGACTGAACGGGCAGAAAAATAGATTACGTCCGGAGTGGCGGGAAACCAACAGGTATGTACAAACAGTGAAATCCTCTTGAATATACAAAAACTGCCGCGCGCGCTTCCGCGAGAAGCTTGACATGAGTTAGGGTCGCTCGAGCACATCCATCGAGGGCCGACTGGCAGACACACGAGCACCAGGGCGAAGCAGTCTAAGGCAAATGTTTTGAACGGTTTGGCGATCGCGGTCTAGGCTGTGTGAAGTGTGGAAACGACAATGAGTGAAATAAAAACAATACTTTTTACTTAAGGATCTTAATTTATGAATATTTTAACCTCTACCTAGAGTATTAAGTCACTCTTTCAAGCATCGTTTCTTGTAAAGTTCTTTAAGAATATTTTAATAATATTAAGTTGTCAGGAAGAAATTTTTTAAAACATTATATAATATCAGACATGGTAATAGAAATATATTCCATTGACCTCAAATATAACGAAATTATTTTTTGTAAAATTTAAATATAATATTAAATTTTGAAAAATAATCCTATGTTGTCGCCAACGTATTTTAGAATACCATCTTGTTGCTCTTAGTCACTAATTTATTACGATGTTGTGACTAATAGAAATAATTTGACACTTGAAGTTTTCATGATATGGCATTAGATTGATTTATTTGATTGAAATATCAGTCGGAGTAATCCATTTGTAGTATATTAAAATTCCTAATACTTTTGACTCAAATTTCGTTATAAGAAATCGAAGAAATGTGTATAATTTTTTATTTGGAATAGGTCTAGCACACCCTCAAAGTGCCTCTGTCACGAGTGTCTGCCTGTTGGCCCGTATTTTGCTGGTCGACTTCCGCTAGTAGTGTTTCATCAAAAGGGAGTTTTTGTGCGTACAAAGACTGGAAATGGATGAGCTGTCAGTAGAAAAAGAGTTCTGTGACTTTGAAGCTGACGGTCAAGATTTTGCAGCATCGCTCAGTTGCTTTTCCCATTTAAAACCATTTTCATAAATGTCATTTTTTAAACATTTATGAGTTACAAAAATTAAAATAAATTATAAATTATAAATCAATTTATTTAAAAAATATAATTTAAAACAAAGCGATAGTAGCTAAACAAGCCTTTGAATGGTTTCTAAAGAGCTTACAAGTTATTCATTTACTTTTATGGTAAAATATAAGAAATACTCAATTACTTGTAAAAATGTTTTGTTTGAAAATAATTATGTCTACTTATTAAATTCAAGCTTAAAAATATGTGAAAAAATACAATTTACCTTTAAACAAAACAAACAAATTTTAAAAATTGAACTTATATTTATACTTTAGAGTCAACCACAAATGTGATTACGGACGGACAATATTGCAATTTGCAAATATTTTATTTATGTACAAAGCATTGTAAAGTAAAATGATAAAATACAAAAAGGAAAAAGAAATGAACAGATGATAAATTTTCATGACTTTTTGTCAATTAAAACCTAGTCCATCCACTTATTTCAAATTGAAAAACAAATTATCCGAAGACAAATCCCCATAATCGAAATAGGCAAGCAAACGAAACGGATATTTTGATGAATCAAAATTGGAGCTTCAGCCAGCAAAGTAGTTAATCAAGGTAATGTGACAGCATGAGAAAAATGTTAGGAACAAGCGGAAGTGCCATTCAATGTTGCAAGGCGGCAGATGTAGCCTATCGTGATTCAACGACTATAAAATCTGGAAGTCATCAAAAGAGAACAAACTTAAACACATATATAAACATCCAGAAAAATAACATTTTCCTATACATCAGATAATGTATACATACGATATGCGTAAATATTTTCACCTAGAATATGTATATTATTATGTAGAATCTTCTTGAACTTTACAGAACAAAAAATATATACACATATATCTGAGTAAAGAAATAGACATTTAAATATTGTGAAATACAAAAAACCGCTAACATTCAAAATATGCACAAGTGCTACGTAACGAGTGGCCCGCGCGACGGCGGAGGCCTACCGTTCACGGAAGGGCCCGAGGGCTGTGCGTGAGGGGGTGGGCTTGGGGCGACCAGGCGGACGCCCGCCTAAGGAAGAGCCACTGCACGTCCATGGAATGGGACTGGAGCACGCATTTCTCTCTATACAATTCCAACTTACACTACTATTCGACGTGTACGGGGTAATTTTGCAAACTTGCGGATTACAGTTGATTTTAGCATGTCAATGATTTTTTGAAAATGATCTCTTCCGTCACGGTTTGTCGCATTCTTGGTTGAAAAGCGAGTGTTTAGATAGTTCTCAGAGCCTTCCTCAGGACAAAATGGGTTGCGGTGGTCAGCGATGTGTCTATACAAATACACTGGCCTTTCTTCCAAAAATGCTACGCCCCTCCTTCTGTAAACACTATGGACCGTTAAAAACAACCTCATGAATACCACCCTGAAAATATTCGATTACGATTTTAAAAAAATCCAGTCATCATTTGATGCCTTTGGCTTAAAAAAGTTGTTATTTTGTTAAGGATATCTTGTCGTGAATATTCAAAAAAAGTTTTAAAGTTACGGTAACTAAAAGTATGTGAAGTATCTCAATGTTCGACGGTTTAATGCAAGTGGCGTCTCCCCCTGGACAACGCGCGTCCGCGCGGCGGGGCGTCGCGAGTAGATTGGACACCAAATAATGCAGTTGAGTGAATGAGTGACATTGCGTAAGATTTGACCCGCTTTGCGTGCGTTGCGCCGCCACGCTGGCCGCTTGCGAATGGGGCGCTGCAGCGGCGACGGCGAAGATCCTGGAATGGAATTCCGCGCTCAGCGGACTTTGTTGATTTTCCTCTTCTCCGAGACGCTCTTCACCGATCAACACCTGCGCCGATCACGTCACCAAAATCAGCACCACACTCACATTTTTACCGATGCCTCATCACAAACGTCACTCGCCACATTCACCAACACCGAATATCTCACATTTTCTCTCCTCCTATCCTCGTCACAGACGGTACATAATTGTTACAAACTTTCTTTTTCCAACCTGAGAATTACTGCCTCAAATATACGTTACACTACCAAAATAAACTCTTCTTGGAACAGTTCAATAATTTCCCTGATTTTGCTTTCGTCGCGTGAACGACACATTCCGAGATGAACGTCACTCTTTTGCAAGAGAAACAAATCGATCGCAGCCCGTAGTCGTTACGGGATGCACCGCGGGTCCCTCGAAGGCGCTCCCGTGCCAGCACACGCCCTGGCGCGTCCGAGGAGCAGCTCACCGGCGCCGCGGGGGCGGGGGGCGGGGGCGCCGCGGGCAGGGCTGGGCGTCGCGCTCACCATCAGCTTAGCATTCGCTCACAACTCGGGGCTTCGCTCGGGGTTCGCTAATATCTAGAAGGTATCACAATGTTACGTGTTATATTTCAATGCGGAAATCTAGTATTAAGTGCTTGGTGTATTTAATTCATTTCCTGCAGACGTGACACACGCGGTAGAAATTTCCCAGTGGAGTTAAGGGAATGGGGTCTCCATCAATCTGAACATTACACAAGAGTCACTCGCTCTAAAGTTTCTATCTATATTAAAAGATAATTGGTGTATTTATTCTTTGGTAAATACTGGATTTCGACATTTGAAATCTCGTGATAACACTACTGCTGTTTGGTGGAATTGTCGAGAGTCAGCTTCTAGTTTGATCTTGCAAAGCTTCTACACCAAGACACGTTTACATATTTCATCTTCAAAATACGAAATCGCTAAATGACGGTGCAGGCGAAGCCTTCGCAGATTCCACCAGCGTCGTTCCAACTCCTCGAGCCTCCACCTGCGCCCCGCCTCAGTTGAGGGACTCGACGGAGACGGACATGGAGGAGGCGGAGAAGGCGGGCAGCTCGCAGCGCGGCCGCAGGTAGCCGGCGCCGCCGCCGCGCCCCACGCCCGCGCCCGCGCCCGCCGCCGCCCCGGGCGACGCCAGCGGGATCTCCTCGATGCGCTCCAGGTCGTGCGCCGCGCCCGCCGAGTTCTGCTTGTTGAGGCGGCCCGTGGAGGCGGCGCGCCCCGCCACGCCGCTCAGCGCGCTCAGGGCCCCGGCCAGCGCCCCGCCGCCGCCGCCCGCGCCGCCCACGCACGCGCCGCCCGGCCCCGCGTCCAGCGTCGTCGTCGACATGGACGTGACCGGCCCGCCGCCGCCCGCCACGTGGTCGTCGCCGCGGTCCAAGCTGAACTGCCGCTTCAGGAACCTACGGAGCGCCAGGCGCGTTAGATGCGTTGCACTGGAGATACGCCGCGCATCTCCAGCTCCCTGGAAATACTATTACATGGAATTTAAAACGCATATATAAAATATTCCGATTAAATAACTTGTATTATGTAATGGTATAATGTTGACATGGTTTTATAAGGTTTCATCAAGTAATCATAGTTCATGAATGATGTTTAAATAACATTACTTGTTTCAACTCGCTTCTATCGGGTGAGAAAACGAAAAAAGCACTTCTGATCTAGAGAAAACATTTTAAAATAACTCTTAGTTCATCATGCTGAAGGCGGAATTCAACAGGAATTAAGAATTGACCTGGAGGAACCTCACAGTTACACGGTAAATAAGATGATATTTCAAATGAGTGCATGATTTTTCTTAACATGCCCTCTTTGAAAATAACATTAGAATCTTACCTGTGTTGTTCACTGGAATTTTACATGAATGTGTCTAAGGTCAGTAGACTGTCTGCAGGAATCCAACAAGTTATAGAATAAAAGGACAATGGTAGTAAGAGGAAATAAAGATGTTGATGCTTGTGTGTATTTGATGTTTACATTAACTGTGAATGTTAAAATTTAATTAACTATCGAGAGAAACGTATTATCGCAATATGTTTTCATTGTTCTTTCCCGCATGGGGAAACTAACGTAATTTTAAGCAATTTGTTTCTCTCAATAAAATTTTAAGCACTGTACTAGGAGTACTTGTTGGTATACGACTGATGCACAGATTGAAGATTGCAGTTTCTACAAATATGAAAATAATATTATATTAAAATACACATATTACTGTATTAAAAGTAATAGATTTGAATCCACTACAAAGTGGTTCATGGATACAAAACGTCTATTTGCCATTTCACTTTTTCTTCACTTCATGTTTCATGCTGGTAAGTTTGGAGAGTTCAACCCTTTACAAAGTCTGTGCAAGGAATTAACATTTTCAGTAGTGAAACGATAGGGTAGCATACAATAGGGTAGCAACGGAGACAAAGAAGGGAGATAAATTGTAAGCGACAGAAGACTATCAAGAAAAGAGAACTAAGAAAAATATCGTGGTTTTTAACTTTTTTCTCTTCTTATTCATTTGGTGATTTTATGAGATATATCTTAAAGAAGAGCACTACAGTGACATGAGGTGAAAATTTGTAAGCAAGAATTGTGCAATATTGAGTTGGTGTGACATTTTAAGATAAGAAAACAGCACACAGAAAACATCGACACGCTAAGCCACAAGGATTTTCATATGAAGTGATCATAGAGAATATCACACAAGGAAATGGATTACTTCTAATCTCTAATCTTTCTAAAGGTGAGTCTGTAACACATTGATGAGAAGAATGCTATTTGTAATCATTAGTATCTTTCACAGTTAAAATATATTGAGAATCCAATTACGACGTGATGAAAATACAAATTGAACTAGTCCAATTTTAATAATTTGAGAAGATGGCCCTCCTCAGCACTGGGGCCTTTCTGCTTGAATTAGTAATACAAATGGACCATATTCTGGGAAATGTTAGGCAAACTCTGTCCATAGTTTATGTATAATATGGACAGGCAGAGACGTATGAATTACGATATCTGACTTGGTTCTCAATGTTTTGAAATGGAACCTCGTCTACTTGCATTCTTTCCGTTTCAATTGTATTCAACACCATTATGAACGTACTATAAATTAATAATTACAAATAACATTACGGCACACTTGAGGTTCTGAAGAAATATCAAGCTAACACGTGTTTATTTCAGTGCACCCAACACCAAGCACTCGGGGGCACACAAATATCATGGCCAATACATACGGACGCACTGACGGGCAACCAATCCTCAGCGTATTGGAGCGTCTAAACATGAACGGCGACGGCTCGAATCTGTCACGTTCACAGAAAACACGGTTTAGATGTTCAAAGGACAAGGTGTTTACAAATTTATATTTTGGGCATGTATCCTAAATATTATTCAATTGTCAATAGTAATAATGTCTTTTACCAGTGAAATTTAAACAGTACATTTTGTCACAATGTATAAAATGTGTTTAGCTTTAATATCTGCCATCTTTTATATTGTGAGCAAATCATATGAAATACGATTAGATTACGAGTTAGAATTAGAGAGTCGATTTAGGAACATCACGTATAATTATTATTATTGCTTTATTGATCGAAAAATGGAAAAAATCTGAAACTGCAAACAAATGTAGTTGTCAAGCATTTCAAGTTATTACATTGAATGTGCTGAAAAATAAATGCGCAAAGAGGGTTGAATTAGCTGTTTAGTTCTTACGTACTTTAATATTCTATTTGGATCACTAGAAGAACTGAGTTCCAAAAGAAAGTTGTTTCATTAACTGATATAAGGTGGTATTAATGATGACAAGTTCCTCTAAAAATGTGTGTAATATTGCCGTATATTAATTATCTGATAAAAATCTTTTTCATTTGGATAAATAGGAGAAAAAGAAATTTGAATTAACATCGCAATTTTCTTAGTTGTTAAAACTCATTGTTTAATTTCATGGGTTGGTTTAATATAATATATTTTTGTGGCAGATAAATCCAAACATTTAGCATTTTATTGTCAAGAATTTTTTGGAAAAATTAAGACAAAAATTTAAAAAAAATACAGCAGCATTTGTTACTCATAGTTTAATTGGAATTAATGTTTTATAAACTACATAACGTAAACGACGATGAGCTAACTTTAGGGACATTTAATCACAAATAGAATGAAGAAAATTAGTTTTGATTTGTTGACATCATATGAACATTCATCTCAAAGTAATCAATTAAAAAAATGTTTATCGACGCCAAATCTTTGAATAGAACAACACGATTTTTGGTCAGGAGAGAGTATCAGAATGGGAAAGTTTCATCGCAAGTAGGGCAGGTCATCATGTATCTAGCTTGAACAGGAATCAGAACTGTTACAGTTATGAAGAACATCTGGATAATAACAAATGAAAATTTAAAATTTAAGAATATAATATTTAACTATTTAAGATATGTCAGTTAAGAACTTTCCCATGTGTCACACAAAATTGAGTGTATAAATGTGGCTTTCTGAACTACCTACGACTTCTAGAGAACCTTTGAGGAGACTGTAGACTTTACGTGAAATGACGGTTGGATGTGAGATAACCTAACTTTACTATAAAACAAAGATTTATGTAAAAAAGGTAGCAAAAACGCAGAGAATATATAAAAACAAAATATTAAAAAGAACTCTGATGACATTTAACGGTAGTCTCATATCTTTTGAGGGTTGCATGTAGTTTACATCATTAATCAATAGTCATATACGATCCCTTCATCATTGCATACGTCGGCTTTCGATTATCTTAGCAGCAGCATGGGTGAACCATTGCCTGTGTTATGTTCGGAAAGCTACGCGCCCAACAAACACGGAATTATTTCGATTCATTTCTATATGCAAAAGTTATTAAAGATGAAGGACTATGAAAATAAATGATACTTTCCGTTGTAAACTCACAACAATTAGTATTAATAATTCCGCTTACGAAGCCGATCATCTAAATCGCAAATGTGGCTCGTAGGCCTCTCCTCGATAGGAAAAGAGCTCGGCAGCGACACGCACCTGGCGGGCGCCATGGCGGCGTTGGATGCGTGGTGCGAGCGGAAGCCGACGCCCGCGTGGTGGTGCAGGTGGTTGAGGTGCTGCTCGCTGGGTGAGAGGCAGCGGTAGTGGTTGTAGGGCGAGCTGAGGTCGTCGCTGCCGGCGCCGGCGCCCGCGCTCGAGCCGCCGAAGCCCCTGCGGGCAGCGTGGCTGCGAGGGCCGAAGTTGGAGGCGCGGAAGGTGAGCGGCGGCGGCGCGGGGGCGGGGGCGGTGCCGGTCGACGACGCCGACACGCTCGGGGTGACGCGCGGACCCCCGCCCGCCCCCGCCGCCGCCCACGCCAGCAGCGCCGCCGCCACGTCCGGACGCCGGGACACGGGCGCCGACGCGAGGTGTGCAGCCGGCGCGGCAGCGAGGGGCGCGCATGGCCGACGCGCGTCGCCGACGTTCCGACGCCGTGGCCGTCGGTCGACGCCAGCTGGCTCCGCGCTGCCCCGCCGCCGCCGGCTCGGTGCACCCCCCAGCACTGCCACACCCGCGCCGCGCGCAACTCTCAACGCTGCGAATCCCGTCGGAAATGAACAACAGCAACATCTTCCTAGCATTTTAATCGAAAAAGAAATAGTTTTTTAGTTATAATTTTTTATTATAAATTTAAATTATATACACATTTAATTACAATTTAATAACATTTTTACTACTTTTTTAAAATTTTCCGCTATACTTCCATGCTGGAAATTATCATATAAAATGTCAGCAGGCAAACGTACTATCCAAAACACCAGTTACGCTGTTTCGTTGTGCGAAACTCCTATTGTGAAGCACTGAGGTTTAGGCTCCTTAACACCTGGGTGGATTCGTACTGGCCGAGTTAGTACTTCGTGTGACGTAATAACCTAAACGAAGCCATTTCAATGCAGTTATGTTTTATAGGTTCAGTTATTTTGGATACCTCTTGCACGGGTGATTAGACACGTGTAGAATCTCGCAATGTGTGTAAATGTAAATATATTACTTATTATTCTACGCAATATAATCGCACGGGTCTAATCATCTCTGTTAAATAAATAAATATAATATTGGACGTATGCACAAAACCGTTTTTATTAACCTCACGTTGCAGATCAGTTATTTTAGTGTTCAGGTTAATTTTTTAGTGTTCAGAAACAAAACAAAGATCCCTTTCTGCATTTGCTTAATAGTTCACGGGAAAAAAAACGATCGAGATCGTGGTTCCAGAAGCAGATCACGTTAGTAGACATCTCATTCAGCATTTTACAATATTACTACAAAAATTGTTACAAATGCATTGGCATTATTATTATTATTATTATTATTATTATTATTATTATTATTATTATGAATACCTGGATATAACGCTCAGTTCAGAGTTTAATCATACGAATAACAATTATAGTGTGATGTTAATTTCACCCTCATAACAATGATTTAAAATTGATTAATATACTCATCTCTCAAAATAACTTAAATTGATTGGTTATTTGTTAATTGTGGATGATAATAAAATTGAACTCATTAATAATCCAAATCATTCATAATACTTGGCATTTTAGATCATAATATGATGTTCGATTAGCATTTCCAACACACTAAAATTTTCATACAAATGTTTATGACTAGAAAAGTATTACACTCTTTAGTTTTATTATTAATTATATTTATATATTTTCGTATTATCTCGTGTCCCTTTCAATTGACGTTTAAATAATTTCTTTGCAAATATAGTACATACTTTACTAGAAATTTCATAATCAATTGTAATACGCAATATGAATTTAAACTGGTATTTAAATGTTTTACAGGATTATTAAAAATAGACTATAATCATTTTTGCATCCAAAAATATGTCATATTGGAGGTTTAGTTACGATGACACCTGTCAAGAATATTTGGATTACATTCAAGTGCAAAGTGATGGATATACAAATGGTTATAATCTGAAAAATGCAATTAATCCAAATAAAACTTAGGAAATGTGATATATTTTTATAACAATTATCTCAAAAAATAAGATCTTATCAAAAATAACAAAAGTTGAAAACAGTTTTGAGGGGGGAGGGTAAGTAATGTGGAGAGCTTGGTTTTTAAGCGAGGCAACCCGCAATGCGCTGGTGTCGCGCGCATCACAGATATTGACGTCATAACACGGCGTTGAAATGAATTTACTTTACCAACCCAATTTACATTGTAAATGGGAAATAAACTTACTATTTTAAAATAGAAATTGTGTTATGAGTGCTCAAGTAGAATTAGAGTTATTTAAGGACAAAATAGATGTACTAGTAGAAATATTATTTCAATATTCTCGCAACATTCTGAAACGTGAATGGCAAGTGCCGAAAGGTTTTCATAAAACGAGTAAATACAAAATCATTCGTTGAAAGAGGAAATATGTTTGAAGCTCGTGTATCATGATAGGCATATTGATCTCTTTGCAAAGTGAGTGGCCAACAAAGTAAGCGCTTGTTTCAATAAACAAAAATTGGCATTGTTCCATAAACGCCTTTGATCATGTGTGTGAAAGCAATTCTCAACGTTATTGATAACATTTGTCTCATACGCAAAACGCAAAGAGCAATGTACATTACTGTAAAGCGTTATTATCCACAGAACATTTATATAGGTTTATCAAATATGCATTTATATTAAATTGTGTGGTTGTTTCAAGATAAATATACTCAATATTGTAAATGAGGAAGATTGATCTGAAAGGGGGTACTTTTGCAAAACACACAAGACAAAAATTGTTATTATTTTATAAAAGAAAGTAATATTTATAAAAAGTGTGTGATAAAAATGCACAAAAAACATACAGAGTCGTGTAAGTTATTTTTTCACTTTTGAATACCCTGGAATCACCCATCTTTTTAAACATTTCTACCCTCCTCTTGACTATACATTAATTCAAACTATGAGCTACAATGTAATATCTTTAACTGCATCCAATTTCAATTAATTTATTGTAACAATTAAATGTTAATGCTATATAGAGTATTGTTAGTCAATATATTGCAAAAATTGCAAAACTTTTCATTTGAGAACACTGGCAGATATGAATAATTAGTAATAATTGTACTTAATTGACTGTATTAATGACCACTGCACTTTTCGAAATGGATATGGATAAAGAAACTTTTCATGCCCTATCGCACAAGCAAGAGAATGATGCGTACAAATGTCAGCAACTTTATGCATTCATTGTGTGCTCTTGTATATTTTTTTTCGAAATTAACTTCCAGCGGTACAACAGCACATGTTTTCCACATTATTTCTAACTGCTCGACTGTGTTATACCCCTTCCTAAACTTCCTAAACTTACAGAAGTGTTTTGAACCAGGATATGTATTTTAGAATATAGACTTGAACTCAGATCTTCTCAGTAAACACGCCGTGGGCCTTATCTCTGTGCTATGGAGACGAAACGTTTCAAACTCAGGTCACACACAGGTCACAAAAAGTAATTTTATCAATACTGTTGTTTTTTTTGAAAAAAATATACTTGACCTTCTTTTAAAGAGCTGATTTTATAGAACATACTTTGTTTATGGCAAAAATCGCTATCTTTAATTTCTTAGTTTTGAAACGTTAACTTTCTATACTTTTCGAATGTATGGAGAGTTTGCCGAATATAGGATTTGCACCATATGTTTTGGTTCTCCTTGATACATACGAATAGAAAATTTGAAGAAAAATTTGGAGGGAGTTTTGAGAAAAAATGTGTATATTTCGCATAAAATTACACAAAAACTATTCACATTTTCGAAAAATCGAAACTAAAGACATCTTGAAATACTTTCAAGAACAGATTTTATTAAGGAAAAAATATCTATTGCATTTGTATTGCAGTTGTAGTAAACGTAAAAAAAATTCACTTTTGGATTTTTTGAAAAAACAGGAAATTTGGCGAATCACTCTTATATAAGGGGGTTTTAAGCGTTTTCTTCGTTGTCCGAGGACGAATTATAATAAAAAGAATTTTTGAGAAAATGTTGAAAAAGCCTTCAAGACTTCATATCAAGTACCCACAAAAATAAAAATATCCATTTGAAACTCCAAAATCCTTCAGTTCGTTCACATCGAAGGGGAAATATTAATTTTGGAGAAAATTGGCTGAATGGATTAGGCTCTATCGTTGTGCACAGACGGACAGTGGTTTCGTTGTCAATTGATTTTTCGATATCAAGGACCCCCCAAATTCTGGCTTCTTATATGTCTATACATTTTTGGTTTGTGTTTATTAATTATTAATTTATTTATTGTTTAGTTTCAATTATTTCAGTTATAAAATATGTTATATCTAAATGTATTTTTGTTTGCTAAATTGCTAGATTATAATTTTTGGGGAAGCCTAGAAGAAGAGGAAGAAGAAGAAGAAGAAGAAGAAGAAGCACAAAGAAGAAGGGAGAAATAAGTAGTTCATAGCAAGAGAGATATTGAAGCGATAAACAGGAAAAAGCAAGAAACGGAAGTGAGAAACAGGAAGAAGAAAGGCAGGGAGGGAAGGAAGCAGCATTAGCAGCCGCAGAGAGGCGCAGGGCGAGTGCCTCACCTGGTGCAGGGCGGGTCCGGCGGGCGCGGCGGCGGGCAGGTGCGCGACGGAGGCGCTCTTGGAGGCGGGCAGCGAGGCGGAGGAGCAGAGCACGTCGCCGGCGCCGCCCGCGCCCGCCTCCCCGCCGCTCCTTCGTGTAGCCGCGCCTCGATTTGCTCGTCCCCCGCCGCCCCCGCCGCCCTTCGCCGCCCCCGCCGCCGCCCGCGCGGCCGCCGCCGCGCCCAACGCTGGGGCTGCGCGACGACGTGTGCGCCGAGTCGGGCTCCGGGCTGGACGCGCCCGCGCCCGCCCCCGCGCTCCGCACGACCAGCCGCTCGTCCAAGCTGCGCACCCACGTAACAACAGCCATTACAACATAGCCAATTTCTATAAAAAATTGGAAGCATTTCATTTTGAGATTGAAACAAATATTCAAATAGTGAATTCGATTTCTTTGTAACGTGAATACATTTATTCGATGAAGGAGTAAGTTATCTAAATTGTTCAATACTAGAGGTATTAGAATAATTAATCTGGATCAACGAATGAGGTTAACATGAAATGTTAAAAAATTATGTTTTTGTAGATAAATAAACCCAATATCGTGTGATCATTGAAAAGCAGAGAATATTTAAAAATATGAATTGAAGCATATTTTAATATATTTTTTAATAATAGTGTGGATTTTTACATAAATAACTCTCTAACCTACACCTTCAAATCAGTGACTTAACTATCTTTAACTGATCACTATCAAATAATGTTCATTTGCGACTGTAAAAATGGCTGCGATGCTAATTTGTAGATTGAGTAACTTATTAAAAGGGAGGCAATTTGTTGCGTGTGTTCATGCATGACAGAATTTTTGTAATTAGATTATTTGTATTATAGACCATACATTCTTTTTGTTTTTTCTTCATTTTTACATATTTTGTTTCAGACTAACAAATCCAAGAAGTGAATATGCATCATGAATAGAAGGTACAGTAGACGCGTCTTCACGAACTCACCCGTGGCTCTCCCTGGCAGCGTGGGGAGGCGGCAGCAAGGAGCAGACGCCCGCGGCGGCGATCACGCACCAGGGCGGGAGGCGGCGAGCCAGGCAGAGAAAGAGCCAAGAATGAGGGCGGCGCCCGCGCCACACGGGCTCGCTAGCGCCAAGCAACTCTAGATACGCTGTGGGGCTACCTACGGATGCAGGGAGAAGCACTGCGAGGAGACAAAGATTCGACTCGAGACAGTAACATCACGCGTTGACACGGAATGGCGCTCGTGAGGTAGATATTTTTAGGAACTTTCTTTCTCCGCGCAGTGGATGGGAGGTGAAGATGTGTGTACTAATGAAAGGTGCTAAAAGAAAAGGAAAGGTGATTTAAAGATGAAATAAAAATGAAAAGACATGAAAGGAGGTAACGTGCATGGAATTGAACCTGCACTACACGTATAAAATAAATGTTCAAAACGGACAAAGAACCGATTTGAAGAGCTACTGAGGTCAAGGCTGGTATTTAGAGGCTTCACTGTCCGCGAGTGGGATCTCATGACCAGGCCTGCTGGTCACTGGAAGACTGCACAGGGGCTATAAGCTCCCGGTTAAATATAGGAACAACAACTATGTAAATCCTCAGCGCAACACCGAGCACGAGGGGGGCGGCCTTCGAAGAGGAGGGGGAAGGGGGACTCACTCGATGGGCGGCGGCGTGGGCAGCGGCTTGTGGAAGCCCTGCTTGCCCAGCAGCCAGTACGTGGGCATCCGGCCCTTGCCCTTCAACTCGGTGAGGCCTCTGAACTGCAGGTGGTACCCGCCCACCTCGTCCAGCTTCTCCTTGGTGGCTTCCGAGATGTGAATGCGCCACGCCGACCCTGAAATCACGTAAGCAGAAAGTTTGGTGATAACATGGAGGTTTAAAAAAATACTCTCATGGGTACAACCGTTTTGCAAGGATTATTTAATAAGAGTAGTTATGATAGACTTAATAAGATCATGGTGAATGACATAGTTGGGAATGAAACTTGCATCTTTGGAAATTATTCATAAGAAACGATTTTGGAAGGACTGAAGCCATTGAATGTTAAATTTGACTCCTGAACCCCCAGATTAAACTTGTCTAAGCGACCATGAATCTTAAAATAGCTTTGTCGAATGGAATGAGAATCGGTTTGGATTTGAAATGAAGGAGAACGACCTAGAATTGGCAAGAGTTGGTAATTATTAGTATGACTGGCGCAAGTCAATAGTGGCTATGAGATTTTCTGGTAAGGCGGTGATCAAAGAGGACTATGACCTATTTTGCTGGTGTGTTGGATAGTAACTTTGCGATTGATGTAAAGTTGTATACTAATGTAATACATGTACGTTTAAGTGTTTTTATTTGATATTTAGTGTTGGAAACAAAAATGTGCAGTTGTAAATGTAATTTATAATTCGTTAAGCTTGGTATAATTGAATTTTAAAATTATCGACATTGCTTTTAACAAACAAAACATTAACCAACTACTAAGCCACTAAAATTTTCAGAAACGCATTTATAGTAAGCATTTACAACTCAGAGAATATTTAAATCATAATTAATTTGCTATTACTAGATTTCAGGTACTTATAATTGCAGTTAATTAGTCTATAGAAAGTTACTTAGATTGAAAATATTGGTTTCCAAAAGCTATTGGTATAGAAATTACTCGAAAAATTATTCTCAATAAATGCAAATATTACTTCTGTCACAACGGAACGTCAAAAGCTATATTTTGTGATAATATATTTTCTATTTAAATTAAAAAATATTTTAAAAAATAAGTTAAAATACAGAAATGGCAAATTATTCTACTGCTATTACGAAAAAAGATTGAGGATATTGCAAATGCTACTTCATTAACGATCAGTTAAGCAGTTTATTAACGAGCAGTCTCACATTTACAGACAATTATTGTGAAGTTACTGTGTATTAGAAATATATAAGGAATACCAATCTCATTGTTACTTATATCATAATATTAAAAAGAAGAGAAGAAATGGAGCGATGCGCATTGTGCAAGGGACATTATTAAAGTATTAAGAGAATTAAATTTGTTAAAGTTTCGGATAATGTAGGACAAAAGTTTGAAGCAATGCAACAACAAAAATAATAGCAAGAATCAGATAAATCTAATGTTCAAAATTGTATGGATTCTTGAAAATAGAAGATAACACAAAAATATGGGCATTAAATTTTCATTGAAAAACGAATTGGATCCTCTGCTTTACTTTATACAAATACGCATAGATACGCATAATATGCAAAATCTTTTACATTTCAGAAGTATATAATACAGTGGACATTTCTATCACATAGATTGTTACATTAAGACAGTGGCGATCAAGGAAGCCGTAACATTCTGAACAGAATTTAATGACAAAAGAATGTACAGTTCTTGAAAAAAATATTTTTGATCACACTCTCTTGTTAAAACTAATCGTTCCGATCCGTAAAGAAAAAAATCGTATTGAGGCACTTATTAAAATTGCTTACAACTCATTTGGAAGAATGAAAGAGAGTCAGTTTTTGTAAGGTCTAATAAAAAGATTTTTCATTACCTGGAATGTCACAACATAACAAAAAAACTCATTAAATGTTTTTCAAGCTTTTGTAAATACGTTCCTTTACCATAAGGAATGGAAAGATTTGGAAATGTATATAATCACTAATTAATTATATAATTAAACATTACCTAACTTAAAAGTATACTGAAATGACTTCGATTATGTAAATTGTTCTAATAATTTACTCCTAAAAATCGTGTATCTAAATCATAGAAGAATCAAAATGTGAAGTTTTGAATTAACCTTATCAGAGGGCAGCAAAGTTGCCTCTTAAGAAGAGACTACAGAAGCTCTGTCCGGAGTGAAGTTGCAGAGGACTCACCCGTGGATTCCATGCGCGACGCCGTGTTGACCGTGTCGCCGAAGAGGCAGTAGCGAGGCATCGTCAACCCCACAACCCCCGCGCAGCAGGGCCCTGCGCACCGCACACGGACGGACTCAGTACACAGTATACATGGAATAATTATTTAGCAATACACGCTGAAGGTGATATCATGTAAGATTAGACCAATTGGAAATTATTTTTATGATTTAAAAAATTGACATAGATTTTTGACGATACCATTTTCAACTGTTCTTGTTGAATTATTAATAATATTCAGATATTAATTGCAATGTAATAGTATTTGTTGCGACTACGTGGTGCGATTATGCAATTGAATTTGATACGTTGTAAATCTTAAGAGCATTCGGGACAATGAACATCTACACAGGGAATATTTTCTAATGAAAATAACTCACATAGTCACAAATCAAAACGTCAGATGTAACGCAAATGAAATCTTTAATATGGAGTTTAGTTATGTTTATTAATTTCATATAAAATCCTGCAGCATAAAAACACTGCGCACAACATTGAAGGTAAGTGGAAAGCAAACGGAATGTGATGAGCTCTTTCCCGTAATATATTCTGAAAGCATAATATACTAGTTTTTATCATTCGACCTAAACGAAATTAACGTCGAAATAACTACAGAAGGGTGAAGAACTCAAATCATGTGAAGAACCTCGGTTTCGGGGTTTTAGATGCCAGCACCTACACGTTAGAATCGAAGTGTACAAAAGTGATTCGTCAGTTTTGTAAGACATTCCTGCATCTTATCGCTCATTATATGATCTTTCGCTTTGATTACCCGCAACGATTTTTAATCGTCGACATCATCATTACTTCTCTGTTGAAGTGAGAAAATTACAATGTTCCAAGGATGTGAAAATTTTCTCGTCGGTTCTTTATCGTCCTCAACTAATAAGAAAAGTCACTGAGACATGAAAGTGAATGGCTAAATAACAATCATGTTAGTTTAACATTTCTTTAAAACATTCTTCTACATCTTCCGATCATTGGTTAATTTTAATTAATTATTCAGCACTCGTATTTCTTCATCAAGTACTCTACACTAATTGCAACAAAGCCATTCGTTTTACTCACTCTTCAAGGACCGCGACAATTACTGTAATTAATTATTTAATAATTAATTTATTAATTAATTTTTTCTGTAAACTACGCTGCTCGCAAGTGAGATTGTTGAATTGTCACATTGCATTTGCAATTCATACAGTACAATGTCCTTTAGCTTAGTTCGGTAGCAGAAGACCTCGCTTTCGGTCCCCGGTGTGAGCAAACTTTGCAGTTGGTGATCCACCACTTTTACCCCCACTCGCTGCAATAGGCAGGAGGCGCGTGCGCACCTGTGTGGATGCCGATGCGCAGGCGCAGGGGCGTGCCGGGGAGGTGGCGGATGCGGAAGCGGCCCGACTGGTGCAGCAGGTCCAGCGCCATGGTGGCTACCTGGTCGGCGTGGCCCGCGTCGCGCACCGGCAGCCCGCCCACCACCATGTACGCGTCGCCGATCGTCTCCACCTGCGCAGCGCCACCATTGCACGCGCTTCTTACCTGGCGCTACTTTTCTTCTAAAGACATTAAAGGCTATATTTACCATTCGACCTTTCCGTTTACTAAGTCTTTTACAGACTGGAGCAAAATAAATGTTAAAAACTTTCGGGGTAATTTCATTTAACAAAGTAACAGACGTGACTGTTCTGGCATAACTCCCTAGCAGGCATCGTATCCTGAACTAGTGTTTTGCAAGTAAACCATCCTTCAGAAAATGACTAACAATATTAATATTGATATTTTTTGTATTTTTTTCGCTTTTGACCACAAAAATTGTTCGAAATAGCGGTCATAAATTTTCTGCATGTGTGGAAATTGAGCTTTATATTCTGCCACACCTCTAGAAAACTACTTGGTGTAGTCCGGATGTAGAAAGCTGTGGCTGAAATTCTGGCCACCAGATTTTTCTCCATCTCTACTGGCGTATCAAATACAAGAGACTTAATGTTTACCCCCAGGAAGAATCTAGTAGTACTCAATCCGCTAACTTCGGGGGATTAAGGAATGAGATCGCCTGTACAAATAAAATGACAATCGATGTCTAACAAGTATACTCCCAGACACACGCGGATATGTTGCTATGACATTGTGAAGTCATATGCGACTCCACAGAGCCAGTGGCACATCCTCCAGGAAAGTAGGCAAAGCCACCTACCGAAGCGTGAAGTACGAAGGGACATTAAGTAGGGGTGTTAAAATAAGCAATCCTATAAATTGATTCATGATGATCCCTGTCCTCTTATTAAAACGTACACGCATATAATATCCGCGGGAAGAAAGTTGTGAAGATTCTCGATTGGCTACTAATGGCCGTTTCTGATTTTGAAATGCTAGAGAAAGACAATGCGACCTTCTCACAGGAGACAACGAGGTCGAACGTCGAGTTATTTCGACAAAGCCGCAAAATCCAGCTGTTGCACTTCAAACCTGGAGAAAACTCTCCAGAGCATGTGTTGTGCAAGATGAAGTGCCTATCGGAGCAAAGAAACCCGTGCGTGTAACCGTCTTAAAAGATTTCCCACCACAAAGTGAATGACATAAGCACTAAAAGTTTATAACATTCATTCTAAACCACTCTTTGAATCCTCATCTAGTCATAAACAAATACTTTATTCTCTTGTACTGAAATAAAACGTAATTTCTTCCTAAGAGCGTCTTTCTCACCTAAGAGCTACTCAATTTGCACAATTTGCACTATTCGAATATTATAATTTAAAATAAAATGTATGAAAAGATAAGAATAATTCTTTATAACAAAGCAATTAATTTACATAAAATACTTAAAATCATTTGGCACGCGCATAAAACTCACAAGAAAAATTCCAATGTTAATGAAGTACATGTGATTAACGTATGTTTTTGAATGTAACGTTAGAGAGAAGATATACCTTATAAACGTTGTAGCCCGCGATGGTGCCATCGAAGCAGGTGTAGAGGTCGTTGAGCAGGTCGACCACTTGAAAGGGCGTGGAGTGCGCGGAGATGGTGGTGAAGCCCACGATGTCGCTGAAGTAGATCGTTACCTCGCTGAAATCCTCTGGGTCGACCGGCATTCCCAACTTCAGCTTCTCAGCCACCGAACTGTAACAGCCGGCGCTTCAAGGGGTTAAAAATATGGGATCAAGAATGAAGAAAAAATTCTCTTACAATATTTCATTAAAATGTTTAATTTGAACATCATTCAAATTAATTAATTAATTTTTCTTTAAAATTAAAGACCAAAGAAATGTAAAGATATATAATTTCTGGCTGATTATTGTAATCCATCTCGCAACTTAAGATCTGTTGCATGATTCATTGTGAATGTTTTACAAGTATCTAAATAATTTTACCGATTTGTAGCCCCTTCTGTTTACTGCTCTCACGTGAGAGAAAAGTGTAATCAAATATTCAATTTACGAATATAATAATATCTACACATACTGTTTTTTACCATTCCTATTGTTTACCGCAAAGAAAACATGCAGAAAAATGTGAAAATAACGTCCAACTTAATTTGTGGAAGTGTTGAAGTATTGTATACAATTATTGCCATTGCCATCAAACTGCACCTCCTTCCCGCTTCATTTCGTAAACGACGCGCTGATTGTAATGCGCTCTGCTGGGGAAGAGGGGCCGCCAGCGCACGGATGGGAGGAGAGCGCGCACCGCGGCATGCAACGAGGAAGCTGCGCGCGCAATCGGATCGGTAGATTCAGTGCACCTGAGCGGCGTAACGCGCGACCGCCCAGCCGCCCGCGCGGCCCACGCCGCCCACTCCGCGCATCCGCCCCCTAGCGCCCCCCCCACCCCGCTGCACAACGAGCACTCTCGCACACTTGCTCGCCCCCCTCCCTCCTTGCTCTCCCCGCCGTCGCCCGCCTTCCGCCACGCCCGCCTGACCCCCGCCTCGACCCCCGCCCTCGACCCCCCCCTCGACCCCCGCCTCGACTCCGCCCTCGACTCCGCCCTCGACTCGCCCGCCCTCGCCCGTCCCCCGCCCCGTCATCGCCCCACTCTCACACGCCCTCTCTCCCCGCTTCACACCACCCGCGTCCTCTTCACGCCGGCTATCAGCCCACCTGCTCACAGCCCTCCCCGCCCACCCCCTGCACCTGCCTCCCACTCGCACCACACACGCACGCGTGCGGGCCGCGCGCCTCACCGCGCCGTGCACGTAATCCGCGCGCGTTCTCCGCGTGGACGAGCAGCACGCGCGGGCGAGCAGGCGGGCGAGCGGGTTGGCGATCGCGGGCAGCTGCGCTCCGCCGCCGCGACGCTCGAAAGCGAACGAGGCCATTCGGCGAGGAAGGAAAGGGTTAAAGGCACTGATTACATGGGCGAGGAGAAAGGAGCGAATGAGTGTGCACAGGGGAGAGGGTGAAACTGGAGTTGAGAGCGAAGAACAGGCACGTGAGGGATAAGAAGAAATTAATGAAAGTTTTGGAGGCTATTGGTTGAACGAGGAAAGAGATGTAGGGGGTCACTCACTTATGTCGTCGAACTTGTATACTAAGATGCAATTCAGAGGTTAGGCAACAATTAACCAAATTATACACAAAACGTTGGTACCCCCGATATCAAAATACCTCAAAAGAGAATCACAATAATGTTTTTAATGAGTGGTTGACACTTCTATTACATGCTTATATAGATTCACTGAAACTCAATCAATAAATTTTCAAATATAATATTTCAATATTGCAAAACCAAACAGCACCGAATGTAGTCTAGTAAATATAAGCAGAATCATTTTGGCAATGATTAAAAAGAAATGAGAAGCAAACCACAAGATAAAATTATATGAAAAGATAAAAATACATAGTCTAGTTTATTGCGCTGATTAAATAAACTAATTACATGCAAATGTACCCAAAGCGACCCGGAAACATACGTAATGTGTGTAATGCATGCATAATAAAGTCGTTTGTTTTCAGAAACCACTTGCGAATCCAGGGATTTAAATTTGGGCGAAAAAGGTGCGGGGGAGTCCGCGGCGAAAGCCCATCGTGACGGAGCGCGGACGCGGACGCGGCGCCGCGCGAACAAATGGACGACGGAGACAGCACGGGAGGGAGGACGGGCTCCGCGCGCGAGGGCGAGGGCGCAGTGGGCGCAAACGAAACCAACATAAACGTTTGCTCAGCGTATTCCCTGGTTTACGAATCACAGGAAATGGACACTGAAGTGAAAGACAATATCAACCAAATTTGTCCTGATCATCATAACTTTGTTTTCAGTATATTTTAAATATTTTAAAGATTTGTTGGTATTTTTATATGGTTCAATAAATATTGATTTATTTCAAGAAATCTATGCTTTTTTATAGAGATAATGTCCTTCATTTTGCTTCCTTAAACATCAAATTATTGAATTTCTTTTTTGTATTATGTTGCCTTAGAAATTAATAGCGGAATCGTACAATTTATTCTAACAACAAATAACTTCATATTTGAAAGCATTTGATCGAAACGCAGGTACTTCTCAAGTAGCAATGCGTTAAGTGGCAGGTATAAAAAACGTTATTTTGCAAGAACACACCTTTGACTACGTCAGAATGTTCTCATCGCAAACACCATTGCACTATGGATCGAAAGCAAACGTCACACTTCATTATTTGAGATTACCCACCAACGTTTACTGGCAAAAAGTGAACATCATGAACCTCATTATTCTTATGAACAGGGGTTCCCGACGGGAACTATATTGGTCCCCTTAGAGGTCGATAGTCAAATATGAAGGACATTTATAATCGAATGTGATTACGGTGACTCTACGATATAAAGATCAATATCTCATTGATTACAAAAATTATTTATAAAGCTGACCGTAATTGTTTTCTGATATAAGGCTACAATATATCTGAAAATAAGTTACGAATTAGCGTATTTACATAACTATTACGCAACAATAATATTAGGATCTCAACTACTCACAAATGGAAGCTCTCTCAGAATTGGAAATTGAGATACTAAAATTTTCATGTAAAATCGTTATATTTAAGTCATTTATGTGCAATAATTTGTGTTACGTACAAGGTCTACTTCAGGGACAAATGTAAGGGAATTGTAGAAGCAAACCATTCTTTTAAAGGAGCGATCCAAGCAAAAGGTTCGGAATCCGTTGTGTAGAAGTTTGTGACATTTATTCCGCGCCAGCTGTGCATTTGTGGCGCGCCTTGCGGCTGCTTGGGCCCAACGTGCGTCGGCTGCCGCGGGGCTGCGCGGGAGCTGCGCCTTGGGAGTGCAGCGCCTGCGACGCGCATTTTTCACTCGCGCTCATCAGCAAAGTAGGGATCTTGAGTGAATCAGAAGGCTTCGGGACGCGTTCTTTGTGCTACTGGCTCAAAGGCGTGCGCGGGAATTCGCTTTCCCAGGCAAGCGACACACAACGAAAATATTCAGCTTACAAGAAGAGATGCTCGCTACGGGAAAAGAAATAACGAGTTGTGAAGGTACGGACTAGGAGAGGAGAATAGGATTTGTTATGGTTGAGTGAGAAAGATGTCAAGGTAACGATTGCAACAGCAAGAGCTGGAGATGGTATGACGGGGAGGAATATAAAGCAAGTTGGAAAGAGCGAGAGATATTTAAGAAACATTTTTGAAAAAACAGTGTAACGAATATATTTTATTCTAAAGTTCATTAACAAGAAGATTACGGCGATTACGAGTGCTAACAGAAAAAATAAATGTGTTAGGATGAAAACTGAAGAAATTGAGAAGAGGGGAAGATGTTATTAAAGAGAACAAATGCACGAAAGAAACGATCCTGTCGCTACGCCCACTGACTTGCAAATGATCAAGAACTGATAAGGTCCCTGCACACAAGCGTTGTGTTGACGTCCGTTAAATAACGTGCGTCGTAGAATAACCCTATATCTTTTGCGAAACGGTACACGAGCTCTTTGGCCGTTCCGCATTACACACAGTTTCAATCTACGATGCGCGTTACTAACGCGTGCCAAACGCGCGCCAATGCAACGCTCGTGTGACAGAGGCCGAATAAGCTATGGATTACAAGGATAAGGTAAAATGGAATAGGAAGTAAACGTGAAAGAAAGAAAGATCAGGAATAAGAGGGACCAAATATATTACCCCAAGGACGTAAACAGAACGTGATGTTAGGAGGTCCAAGGAAAATAGAATGAAATCCAGGCCGGGAGGGGGCTGGGCCAACCGGAGGTGTGCGCATGTGCAGTCCAGCGAGGAGTCCGCATCGCGAGTCGTGGTCAGACGACGGGAGCGCGGGCGCGCGGGCGGGGCGACCCTTAGGTCAACAAGACATTTACATAGAAATTGAAAACCTATCCTCCTTTACATAATCTGCCTCATAAAAAAGTGGGGAACGTAAGGGAAGGCGCCGGCGGTGGCCTGGGGGGAGGGGGGCGAGGCGGAGCCGCGGCCGCGCGGTTGGCAAGCCTGAGTTCAGTTGCGTGTAAACGGGCGGCCGCGAGGCGCCGAGGGCGGGAACGGACCGCGACAAGGCGCCGCGCAGATGGCGTCGTCCCCGTCTCCTCGACCTCGCCGCTGGCGCGGCCGCTGGCGACGAAGCGATAACGCGCGAATTGATATGATACGCGCGATGCACGCTCCTTGCGGCAGTTTCCGCACTCGTTTACAGCTATTACCGACAATTTACGATTGCAGAACTATAGCTGGCACGTTATACCAAACGAGCCATACAGTTACCAATTTCGAAACTGTTGCACAGATTGTGGGGAGTTTTACGTTTCAGAGTTTGTGAAACGGAACTTCTTTCTCTCCCAGAGTGCTGTAAAGCACCGTTTGGATTTAAGTGGGAAATCCCTTTGAACATATCACGGAAATGATTTGATGGGTTTCATCGTCGTTTCGGAAAACGAGTTCTGGGCTGTCAGCCGAAATATTGGTAATATAGAAGTACTTCAAATGAAAGACATTTGAGACAGTCAAATATTCTACATGACTAAATATTCTAATAACGGGAGTCCTTCAATTTATTATATCAAGGTCATGACCTTTAGATAAATACACTCTAATTAAAAAGCCTTTGGCCAATGGTCATAA